CAACACTAAGAAGCTAACGCCACTTCAGCATGAGTTCAATCCCCTGCCCTGGAGGTGACCACATGGCACGGCAGACCTCTCCTGACCTACCCGCTGCTCCCCTCAGCATTGTACTTTGTCAATCTGCCTGTCTGCTCCCCACTCTGTCTCTGGTGAATCCTCTCACTATCCCTGCACCTCTGGCCTGTACTCCAGTTCTGTATACGTAAATAAATAAATCCTTAAAAAAAAAAAAAGGGGGCACTCCATGGTGCAGGCTCATTCTATGTAACTACATACCAGGATATCAAAAGAGAATCCTCAGTCTCTATTTTCTGCAGATACTTCAAGTTAATCTAACCTCTCACACCCCACTTTTCCTGATGACCTGCTAACTGGTATCTTTATTCCCCTTATAGACCACTGAAAAGCTGCCTAATACACCGAGTGACAGGCAGTGGCTGTGAACATATAGCCTGTAGTACAATATACTGTTCTAATTTATTATTAGGTATTGCTAATTTCCATGGTGCCTTATTTATAAAGTCAGCTTTATCAGAAGTATGCATGTGTAAGGAAAAACATAGTACATATAGGTTCAACAGTCTCTGTAGTTTCAGGTGGTCTTGGAGCACTTGCTGCACAGAAAAGAAGTGACTGGTGGAAATGGTTTGTTGTTGTTTTAAAGATTTATTTATTTATGCATACAGAACTGGGGTAAAAGCCAGAGGTGCAGGGGCAGTGAGAGGATTCACCAGAGTCAGAGCAGGGAGCAGAACAGGCACATCAACAAAGTACAGTGCTGAGGGGAGCAGTAGGTGGGTCAGGAGCGGTCTGCTGAGCCATGTGGGGCACCTCTGGGGTCAGGGATCAAACTCCCACTGAAGCAGCTGCGGCCAGCTTGCAGTGCTGCGTCCTAACCCACTTGCCACCAGGGAGGGCCCAGAAATGGTTTGCTTTTAATCCATCAGCAAAAATAACCAGAAGCAGTTTGTCACATCTGAGGAAGGACTGCAGCACACTTTCACTGATTTATGTCAGGCCTCTATCTAGAGACAGATTGACATCCATGTACTGCCACCATGACTAACTGTGGAGGGTCATTCGCTATGAGGAAACCCAGAAGGCTTTCAGCTCTAAAAGCAGTCCACAACAATAGGAACCCCACAACATCCAGGCAGCAGTTCAAACTGCCTCCCCACTTAAGCAACAACACAATATGGGCAGACATACCTTGTCAATATTGTGGGGTCAGTTCCAGACCACCGTGAGAAAGCAAATATCAAAAGAAGGCCAGCGACACAAACTCTTTGATTTCCTGGTGCCTATAAAAGTTATGTTATATGGTAGTCTATTAAGTATGATATAACATTAAGTCTAGAAAAACAGTGTTATTAAAAAAATATGAATCAGACAAAGATAAAAGTGAGCCCGGCTGTTGGGAAAATGGCACCAAATGATTTGCTTAACGCAGGTTGCCACAAACCTTCAATTTGTAAAAATGAAACACTGTGTCTGCAAAGCACGCTAAAGCAAAACACAATAAAATGAAGTATGCCTGCACTTCACATGCTTGTGAAAGACACACCCGTAGGAGTGTGCGCAAGCTGACCAGTACACCTGCAGAGCAGACCCTGGAGCTTTAGGATAGGATCAACTTTTCTATACCTGAGAAGCAGTTCCTACCTGGCTACCAGGCCCCGATAGAGATGCACTGCTTGATCACAGATGCCATGTGATCTGAAAACTTCTCTGATCTCATGAACGGGCAGTTTGGATCCTAAAGAGTTTTACTACACGCCCCATTACCCAGAAGCAGGAGGATTGGTGGAAAGGTGAAGTCTCAAAGTGTCAGCCAATAGGAGGCACCAGGAGGAAATAGAAGGATAGAAGGAAATAGAGATTGAGATATTTCTTCCCACTCTCTCCCTGCCAGGCCATTGGTAGTAATTTTATTCCTCTTCTTATGTCTTCTGCCCTTTCCAGGGCTGCTTTCAGGACCAGAGCTCTTGCTGGATTTTTATAATAACAGCTCAAACTCCCCTCCTGCTGTCAGGCCTCTGAGTGGCCAAGGTCCTGCCACTTGGTAGTCCCAAGACCTATAAATCCCTTAATGGGTCTCTCAACCCTCCCCACATCTCTGAATGTGGCCCTTTTATTAAATGCTCCTCTCTTAAGCCTATTTATTCTTTAGGGCAAGGACTGAATATATTAATGTTGAAATATGTTGTTGAAGTATAAACAACATTCAGGGACATACACAGATGTTGATTATACAGTTTTGGGAGGTTTTGCATCCTCTCACCATGATCTGGAACATTCCCATTAAGGCAGAAGTGCTTTGCTTTCACACCCTCTAAGAGATAACCACTATGTTGATAGTTTGCCCCATGGATTGGTTTTGCCCTTTCTGAAATAATCATATTGAGAAGCAAAAGGGCATTTTGGAATCCTGCTCCTCAGTCTGACTGGCTGAAAGGAAGTTCAATGTCCCAGCTGAGAACAGAATCAGAATTGTATGGCCCTGTTCTGTGAAGAGGTCATGCCAAAAAGTCCATATACCTGCCTGTGGGGAAATGAAATCAGGTCCAGTGCCAGCAGAAGGCAGTTAAAGAAGGATAAAGCAAGTATATAATCAAGAATCTTTTAAGGAGAGTAAAGATAAAGTTTACTATCCTGAAGTCTTATATCCCCTCCAACACATCCCCATGCCAGTACATGTCATCTTGATAGACAGACAGATAGAGAGACAGATGGATAGATGAGATTTCACACATCTGGGTTGGTGGGGACCTTACATCTACAGTCTTTGAGTTCAAATAATGAAGAAAGTTTGACATTTGTAGGCTCAAGTGAGAGCCTACAAGTGAAAACCAGAAATCCTTGTCAAAAATTAATGTATTGCTTGGTCACTTCACCCCTTGACATAAGAAAATGATGATTCTCTTCTTTCCTAAGTTTTGTAATTTCACTTAAACTTGTGACTGGCAGAGCATCTCTCGCAGAACAAAATCTGTCAGGCTATTTGCAGGTTCGACTTCTCACTTCGATGACCTAATAAACTCCTTGTCTGATTGTCATTATTACTGAGATTTTTTTTTTCAGTCTATAATGTAAATGGAATCATACCACATGACCTTCAGTAAGGTTTCTTTCACTCAGCATAAGATTTCTGAGATTCACCCCTGTTATTAAGTGTAAGTGACTCATTCCTTTTGTGTATAGTAGGATTCTTCGTGTGAACATGGCACCATTTGCTATTCAACTGCTGGTGATAATTGTGTTGCTTCTTTTAATCATTATAAATAAAGCTCCGTAAAATCCATAAACAAATCTTTCTAGATAAATGTTTTTGTTTCCATTGAATATACAACTTGGAATGGAATTTTTGTGTCACTGGGGTGGTATATATTTAACTATATATGAGATTTTTCTAAGGAAGTTGTATCAATTAAACATTTAGGGCAAACTACCTCCTCAAACTAGGACAGACCAAGATAAATCTAAATAAAGACATTTTAAATCTCATCAGGACTAGGTAGTACCAAGTAACTGCCTAGTCTAAAAACATTACTAGGCGCATCTCCTCCGTGAGTCAGATGCCTTCTGAAAATGTCCTCTCCATTCTCAGCAACAATGAGGCTTGAAATGTCCCCTCCGGCTCAGACATGTGAAATATCACTCCTTAGGTTACCAGATAGCTGTTAGAGAAGCAGCTAAGAAAATTAATTTACATTTACATGTGAATTATTGGCAGGTCTCACTGCATATAATACCCTAGACTATTTGTATTATAAAAGTAAAATTTAAACTCTTGGGTTCTGAATACAGAATTGAGACGATCAGAGGGGAAGAAGTGTGGGAGCAAAGGTTAGAGGAGTCTAAATGGACAGTATTAACAGTATCCTTGAGTGATGGGTGTGGTGTGGTAACAGACATTTGAAAAGATGTTGGTCTGCACTCCTAAACCAGAGTGTTGCAAACAAACATTACTTCAATTTAAGAAGAAGTTTAGGGTCCTCCCTGGTGACGCAGCGGGTTAAAGCACAGCACTAAGAAGCTAAAGCCACTTCTGCATGAGTTAGATTCCCGACTGCCCCGGAGGAGATCCACATGGCGCGGCAGACCTCTCCTGACCCGCCTGCTGCTCCCCTCAGCAGTGTACTTCGTCGATCTGCCTGTTCTAGTCCCCACTCTGTCTCTGGTGAATCCTCTCACCCTCCACATCTCTGGCCTGTACCCCAGTTCCATATGAATAAATAAATAAATAAATAAATCTTAAAAAAAAAGAAGTTTAAAAAATAAAACTAAATGAAAGCAAAAATTTATGTCACGAGGGGATTAATCATTAGTACCAGTCTTGTAGCTGACATCTGGGAAGAAGAAATCACTTTTGGTGCCCTTCAAAAACTAGGTAAGCTCAAAAGTGACACCTGTGGTAAATCATATAGAGTTCAAATCCCAGTCAAAAGACTAGGTGATCTTCCCATGTTTCTGTCCTAACTCAATGTCCGGGGACCATCATGTGTTCCCTTAGCACCAATCATTTGTTCAGTTTTCCTTAAATATGTTTTAAGTGTGAGCATTTTAAGGACAGACTAGCCTCTTTCAGAATCCTGCTCAGGGGCACATTTTTTTTATGTCTACTGTGAGTGGCACATTTTTTTTATGTCTACTGTGGCACATTTTTTTTATGTCTACTGTGATAAAGATTTATTGATATCTACTATTGATAAAGATGGAGGGGGGTTGTCAAAGGTACAGTGCCCCCTGAACCCCACCTATGACAATGCTGGTCTTTACTACTTCCCAGATGAAGAATATAAATTCTTCTTCCTCCACTGAATAGTGCTGATTCTAGGTGATGGGCAGGCAGTGATCTGGAAGACAGATTTTAGTTCAGGGCAGGGACCCCTGCAGCAGAATTCACTGGGACACTTATTTAAGGTGTCGCTCCCCAGCAGAGACTGAAAGAAGCAAGAGGAGCCCAGGCAAGGAGCCCTGATTTGGGAGACCCGATAATGCCGACACCCGCCAGCGCGGTCGGTGTTCTGTCAGAAATGTTACAGCAGAGAAGTTGGCTTCTCCAAGATAATCCCTCTCTGAGTGATTTTCGAGTTCTGCTTTTAGGGTAGAGGAAGCTCGCTACTGTGGGCGCTTCACTTCTTAGACGCCAGCAAGTGAAAGTCTTCTTTTTCATAAAAATGTTCCTCCTGTATCAGAAGGACGCCAGCTGGAAAGTCATGCGACAGAGGACAGACTTAGGCATCTGTTTGTTTAAGGGCCCTCCCGGAGGGGCTCTGCCTCTCAGACTGCGTCACCCTTTTGCAAAGGGTCCCCTTGGCAGGCGGGGTTCCCTCCCGCGGGCTCTGGCTCTAGCAGCCAGCCCGCCTCCCCGCGCCCTCACCCTCCGCCTCGGCGGTGCACCGAGAGAGCTCGCGGTCCGGCGCAGCCTCTTTTGGCACCGAGGACTCCAGGTGCCCAGCACGAAGGCGGAGCCCGGCTACAGCCGCCTCTCCGGCGCCAAGGGCCAGGCCCCCGGGACTTCGGGGCCCCAGCGCTGGGTCTCTGGTGTCCCCGACCTCCCCAGACTCTCCGCGCTCCTCCCTCTCCGCCAGCTGGGCGCGAAGCCTGCGACCCGCGAGCAGAGCGCGGCGCCCACGACCGGTGGCGCCGGCAGGGCAGTGCCGGGCAGCCCCCAGTGCAGCCAGCGCCCTCCCTCGAGCCCGCCGGCCCGTGGACGCCCGACCATGGCTGCTGAGGGCCTCGGCCCAGGTGCCTGGCTCTGGATGTCCGCGCTGCTCCTGCTGGCTGTGCCGCGCTCCTCGGTGCGGGCCGACGGTGAGTGTCCAGGGGCGCAGGGTGGCGCATGGGGTGTGGGTGGGGAAGCGAAGCTCGCTGGGGCGACTCCCTTTCGAGCTCGGGGAACAGCAAGCCTGGGAGGGAAGGAAGCAGGGGCCCTCTCCTGGCTCGCCTAGTCACCGTGCGCCCATTTGTCCCTTTGGTCCAGCAATCTCCTTTCATCGAGGGCGCGAGCGCGCACCGGAGAAAACCTGTACCTGTGTCTCGCAGCTCTGTCTCTAACTTGCCCAAGATTCCCATGAAAGTTTTGAAAATGCAGTCACTTCTAGGGTGCCCAAGAACCTCTTCTGCGGAGATACATACACTCTTTCACGTCTAATAAATGTGTTTCACCGGCAAGACGCGTGCCTGGAAAACTCCCTTAATAAACTCCCTCAATATTTTGACTTGGTCTGGAAAATCTGAAAGATGAAGGGCAATCAATTTGGCAAAGGGGAGAGCAGTGTTCTGAGCAGAGGGGCTGGCACGTGCGAAGGCCTGAGAGTGACAGAGAAAATGGAAAATGACAGGGTGACTGGAGCAAGGGGAGGATGTCGTGAAACTTGAAGTAGAGACGACATTATTGCAGGTTCTGAGAATAGACCCTTTTTGTGTGTGGTTTTGAACCGAAATTCAACTTTCAGTACTTCCTGCAAACTAGCAGAATCTGAACCCAGTATCAATTCAGAGCTGAACAATCTAATTTGATTTTTAAAAATGTACTTTGCTTTTTGAATCAAATCCCTGTTGACTTGGTGCAGGAGGATCTCAAAGAATAGAAGCCAGTAATCGTCATATCTTGGGGGTGGGGGGCTTGGAGGCGGGAGGTCAGGAGATGCAAGTTTGTGACAGATTAGAGTGGTGGAGGAATGCCCTGGGCTGATTTAGAATGTTCTTATTTTTAGGATTCTTTGTATTTTTGTGTTTGTAATGCCTCCTGTTATTTAGCAAACAATATTGGGTGAAACTGGAGATGGGATAAAAAGAAGCATGGTGATTAGAGAAAGGGGAAAGCAGAAGCAAAAATACTAATGATTCACATAAAATTTCTGATTTTAAATGTACAATTCAATGGTTTTTAGTATACTCATTATACTGTGCAGCCATAACCACTAACTCCTGAACATTTCCCTCATGCAAAAAAGAAATCCCATACCTATTAGCAGCCCATCACTGTTAATTCTTCAGTGTACTTTTTCTTACATTGACTCATGAAAATGAGGTTGATTTTAAAGAATGCAAGTAGCGTACATTGCAGCCAGTACTGACTTTTGAACAATGTATACTATTCTACCAATTTTAATTCCTCTTAAAGAAATTCCTCTGCAATCCAGGAAGTTTTAGAGCTTCACCCCCATCAAACTGCTTAAGTAGAATGCCATATAGACGTGGGTCCATAGGCTGAGCCTCTGTGGCTTGATGTGTGCATACAAAACTGAAGGCAGAAATATCATAGGACAGGGTAAAGTGATGACAGCCCCCAGAGGACTTTCTTGCATGTTTACTGCTCACCAGAATCACCTCTGACTCTCCCTTTCCTTCTCCCTTCTTCCCCAGTGGAGAGTTACAGATAATCTTGCCTTCAAGAAATTCCATTTGCTGAGCTTCAACTTTTATAATGGAGTCATTGAAGAATTATAACATATATTATGAAAGGATCTTTTTTTACTAAATATATGTTTAATTACCACCACTTTCCATATTGTGTTATTTGTGGACTACAGTGATGGGAGGAGAAAGAAGAAATGTTCAGCTAAACTGTGATGCATTACAGACATTTGAAGGGAGAAAATAGGAAATTATTTCTAAACTATGAGGCAAGGGGTTAAACCCAAATTAAAAAACTCAGTTTATATTTGACTAATTAGGTATACATTTTATAATAAATAACACCTACTGCTATACTTTTGAAATGGAAAAAATCTTCACATTAACTGAGTGCAAATTAACTGTTTGAATGATGCTAATAGGAAAAAGTTCATTAATTGAGCAGTTTATTACCGACTATCTGCTGTGCAATAGATACTACACAAACTACTTCTTGTGCAAAAATGGGTCCTCGCTATCTCAGAGCTTAAAATTCCACGGGGGAGAGTGTTATTAAAAATAAATACATGAGGGCCCTCCCTGGTGGCGCAGCGGGTTAAAGCACAGCACTGAGAATCTAAAGCCGCTTCCACA